CTATTAGCGAATAGCGACTTAGCCTCGTTGAGGCCAAGCTTACACTCATTACTAACGGTTACAAACAGGCGTCTTTTATGATCTGAGCTGTTATATTTGAGTACTCGAAAGAAACGATCCCTTTGGGCTATAGCCGCAGAACCAAGGAAAAAACCTCAGTGGCATTATTCTCAACGGGAAGTTTAAAAGCTTTTTCATGACAATAGTTTTGATGAACGTTCCTCTTTGGAACAGCGTCTTTACGAATTTAAATGTAGTACTAGAGTGGCGTTTAGGTCACATCATTTTACAGATGAAATTGTTCGATGTAACCATAAGTTCTATGCTAAGAGTTTATTCTTTAACACTTCTAGCTTTTGGGACTCTATTCTGTATTCTTGCTTTCCAGTCAACTCTAATCTTCAAAAATCTAAATGTAATCTTCTGTCTCCTTTATACCTGTTCTTTTATTGTCTTCTCCTCTTAATAATCATTTATTCTCAGATTATTTCACATTTAGTAATCTCTCCTGCCTTAGTGGCTTTATTGCATTACTTGGTGTGAAATGATTGAACAAATTTTAAGTAGGAACTGCGAGTTTTTTTTTCCTATGTAAATAGTGATTTATTTTTATTATTACTTTATTCCAAACTGTGTTCATAAAATGATCTCTTATGTTTTAACAAAGATGGCGTCTCATCATCTATATTTCATTTGAATTCTAACGACTGATCTCTGGTAAAATGAAAATAAAAAGATACACAGCTGGAAATTTGATGAACGGAGTTATTTAAAATAAAAATATTTATGCTAATCTACTATTCCATGCGGTCGCAGAACAGCATCGTCCATTGATCTTTGTTTGGACTATCTCCAAGCATCGTTTTATTTTATTTTATTTCAACGCAATCCGTATCGGTTTAATCTTTAACCCGATCACATCGTGTATTGATGCCAAATAGATTTTAGAAATTAGCAACGATGAACAAACCTTGTAACAGCGCAAACTTACAGGATGTGTTTATTCACATGGAAAACGGTTAATGATTATTTAAATATATATAATGACAATAAAACTTAAATAACTGAATCATTTGCTATGTATATGCAAGCAAACAACATTCAGTAATTTCAAAAAGAATTTCAGCACGCAATCACTGCTTCTTTTTTCTTTACTGTTTCCCGTCAATACGTGGACTATTGGCTCTCCACAACTTACTATCTTTCTCTGGTTATGTTCACCTGTTTTCACAAGCTCATTAGTTGGGTTACCCGCCTTCATCTCAGTGTGTCCTGTGAATGTCAAATTCTCCAAATATCTTTTCTTTATTATGTGTCCTAGAAGTTTTAACTCTTTCTTTCCTAAGCAAAAGCCTTTTTCTCATTCACAATTTACACTTTGCAAGATTATTGTCCTTCTCATGTTGTGAAGCTGATTAATGTCCACCTGGCTAAAGAAATATTCAACGATACAAAATAAATGCTATAGCCCGCAGCTTCTCCAAGAGAAAATCTTTGGTCCATCATTAAAAGAGATAAATATGAAAATGGAAAACGATATTAACGCAAAGATTTCTGGGAAACAATAAAAACTGTTGCACGTGGTGTCAAAGTTGAAACGGCGGAAATAATAACAAAATCAATGATTGAAAGACCGACCAACTTCATTGGTTGTCAGGGAGCCCATATTCACATGTAAATACATTTTCGAAATTTATTTTGAAAGCCATCTTTCACTATCCCAATACACCATTGTATTTCGGTATCGAATTGTCCATCCTCTTTTAAAACGCTTCCTGGATACTTAAATATTTCTTCTCCTTTGATTTTGTTATCTCCAATTTGTAATTTGTACGTTGGGCTGTTCCTTTTGCTAACAACCATGCATTCTATCTTCTTTCAATTAATGTTTAGTCTTTTCTTATCGCTTTCCTTTACTATCTTCTGTTGGGTTTATTGTAGTTTCTTTACCGGGTCTATCAACACTGTAATAGTGTGTTGAAGAAAAGCAAATTCTCAAACGCACCTCTTTTCAATCAGTTTGAAGTATTGTCGCTTACTACTTATACAGCAGAATGCTTTGCCTCTAAATTCTCTTACAACTCTTCTCTTGAATCTTCAGAAGCAGCTTTACCTGATTTTTTTCCCGAGAATGGAACCTCTATTAAATGATATGCACGTAACACCGTCTATAGTTTCTTCTACTATCTTGCGGGTTTGGGCTTTTTGTTGTGTACGATCCACCTAATTTACATAGTGGAGTACCGACCATATAAATATGGGTTGGTACCGGGAAGACGAAGGGAGTAACAAGAGATCCAATCCAGAGACTCTGCCCGACTGCGATTAAGTCAACCCATTCTACAGGAACAGTCTTCCCAAGATTATACCAAAACTAACTGTAAATATTGTGTACCTTTTCCTTGTTTCAATACATTTTGTTTACGTACATTTTGTGTTGTATTATTATTATTCCATGCTTATCCAAGCTTCAACACTTTTGGAGAAGGTATGCATGCCATGACCTGTCGAACGCCTTCGAGATATTTGAAATCACTGGACGAATATTTAAAATAACCCAATCGTTCTTAAGAAATCGTATCATCTGCATATATAATTTTTTTAAGATTGTAGCCGCCAATAATGGATCCTGGTAACATATCTAATTCTCTCGGGATTTACTGTATAGTTTAAATAAATCTGGTGAAAAGACACATCCATGTCTTCTATTTTTTTATATTTACTAAATTCGTCTAAAAACTACTATTTTTATAATGTTTTTAATGTTTTCAAATATTGTTACAATGACACTTTTTTTTTAATTTTGTCTTTAAAATATTTGTCTTTGTAAATTTTTTTCTGCCATTGTCGTTTTTTAACTTAAGAAATATTTTTGAAGTTTCAATAGATACATTTTCTCCAGCAAGGAGTGACATGTGGTCTACTTTAACATGTGGTCTACTTTGACATGTGGTCTACTTTAAGTTATTTCAATAACGTCAGTTCACCTTTTCGCGCTGATGACCGCTACGCTACGCATACATCTACAAACATAATGAATGCTTATGTATATATAAAGAAACATGTTAGAAATACTCACACATATCGTTAGTTTTTTATATCGTGTATATTTCTTAACCATTTCTTATATCTTATGTTTCTCTTGTATTCTGTAGTATACCAGAATGTTTCATTTTGTGGTAGGCAGTCTACCGCAATGTTTCTATCGAAGTAAGCGGTCTACCACAATGAGTCTATTGTAGTAAGCAGTCTACTACAAGGGTCTATTTTAGTAAGCAATCTATCACAAGTAAAGAGTCTAGCACAATATTTCTATTGTAGTATGCAGTCTACCATAAGGTTTCTGTTGTAGTATAATATTTCTAATTCAGTGTACAATTTACCTTTCAAAACTGATTTAGGAATTAAAATTGAATACAAATAAAACGCTATTACAGATTTACAACTATTTATTAAAAATATTTATTAAAACATGTAACATCAATAAAATATTTGACAATGTATGGCTTGTAAACTATTCGTCCATCTTGTAAAAATGCAATAACGAAATTGACTTAATTTTTTCAGTATTTTTCTAACAGGTATAAGGTGATCATGCATCATTTCAACGTTTACTTTCATTTGTATAACATTTTAAATACGCTTCGTAAGAGATACTATAAATTAAAACTAAATTATTTTCTGATACATTCATAGCCTGCAAAATTTATTTAACATTAAAGTCAGACTGGAGCCTTCTAAACCATCGGCGTAGGTATTGAGATGACTGATGGGATCACCGTTGCGTCAGAAATGGCAAGAGTAAAATAAATAGCTTTGAAACCAATTCTATCTCCATTTAGTGTATTTAACTGGAAAGAATTCAAGACTTCACCTACTTCCGGTCTAACCTGTTTTTCTTCAAGCAGAAATACAAACGAGACATTGGAGAATTATGAATATTATATAGAAATATGTTTTCTTCTAATACCATCTCGCTTTATCATTACTACAAGTCATGTGTACTAATATATATATATATATATATATATATATATATAAACATTACGTTCAAAAGTTCATATCATGCTAATTCTGTGGATCGCTTCAAACTTTTGAAATGTAGTGCATATATATATATATATATATATATATATATATATATATATATATGCGTGTTTGTGTGTGTGTGTGTTAGTAGTACTAGTAGTAGTACTAGTAGACATTTTAGATCTGTTATTTTACATTGGTCATGTTTTATTACAAACAACACACACTGTGCGCTTTTTTATGTTTTATTTATTAATTTCACCCCAAAGAAGGCGACAATGCCACTAAGACGCAAGGCGCTACTAGAAATAAAAGAAACGAGAAGACTAGTGAGGTGAAAGGAGAATAAAAGAACGAAATTCAGTGAAGATTGCAATCGGCGTTGCATTTAAATTTCTGAAGATTATAGGGGAGAGAGAGCAGAAAGAAACCAGAAAAAAGAGTTCCACAAGCAGAAAGTAAAAAAAAAGAAGCTATTAGTCTATTCCCCACATGACGATCGCTAAAGCGACCCAGGGTCACAAACTCATATCTATCCAACCAAATATATATATATATATATATATATATATATATATATATATATATATTGCATTATATAGTGCTGGTGTTAATAAAATAGTACTCAATTTAATATAACACAACTATTAAGTAGATATTAAAATATATACATATTATCACTCACAGGTACCACGACTCGTAGTTTCAGGAACAAAACAGTCTTCAGCTGCTGAATATAGACTGGCCTGTTTTTTAAATAAATAGATAGTGTTGTAACCTAGGGAACGTTACTGAATACAATAATCAAACGAAGGTTGATAATAAACGATACTACTTAGGACAAGAACAGCATATATAAGATTCGCAAGCGGCGCGTAGGAGAATAAGTCAACTGCTAGAAGTGAGTCAAGCGAATTACTCAATGAATCTCGAACTGCAGGCCAACATACAATATTTACTACTGTATTTACTATGCTACAATAGATAGATAGATAGATAGATAGATAGATAGGAAACGGACTTAGATAGATAGATAGATAGATAGATAGATGAATAGATAGATAGATAGATAGGGAAACGGACTTAGATAGATAGATAGATAGATAGATAGATAGATAGATAGATAAGGAAACGGACTGAGATAGATAGATAGATAGATAGATAGATAGATAGATAGATAGATAAGGAAACGGACTGAGATAGATAGACAAGGAAACGGACTTAGATAGATAGATAGATAGATAGATAGATAAGGAAACGGACTGAGATAGATAGATAGATGAGGAAACGGACTATTCATAGCTCCTGGCGTGGCTTTGTAATTATTTTTATTTTCTTTGTTATAACCATTAAATATATACAGATAAAACCATAATCATAATGTTTTAGCTATGATCTTATAAATCTATGTAACTTAGAATATTGGTCACATAATTAATTATCCATTTAATATATTATATGAATATCTTACATTAAACAAATAATGATGTTCTGAAATGTACGCATATCGTTTCTGAAACTAGATACCTGCTCCGAAGACAAGCACGACCGGGAAACCCGTAGAAACTGTTAACTTCCGGTTTCCTTTTGACTTTTACAACATTCAGATCAAGATGGGAAGCAGATATAAAAAATAACCCTAGCTGTACTGATATGTTTATTTGAGTGACTGGAGTTTCGGATTACCTTTGATTCTTAGGTACTCCACTAGAATTTGTTCTACTGTTTAATTTATTCAAAAGCAATGTGATCCCCTTCTCTCTCGGTACGCTTATCATGTAAACAGAAGTAAAACAATGCTATTTAATGGTTTCCTGTTTTAAAAAGTACTAACACTTTCGGTAACTGAAGCTCCACGCTTTTTTTTTATTTATCTTATTTTCTTTTTCTCTTCTACGAGATCTTTCAGAGGCTTGGATAGTAATGTCAGTGATTGCTTCAAATAAGAAATAAGCAAATACGGGTGGCTGCTGAAAGGTGCCGGTATCCACCAAGAAACTCTTCCCCATAAAATTGTCTGATGTTCAGTCAGAGTTTGGGAAGTTTGGTCTGGTCGAGAACTTTTCGGTACTTTGTATTTTTCAACTCGCTAACACCGAATATCACGAGTAAGTCAAACATTAAGATTTATTTTTTATCACACTCCGGATTACTTCGGAAGTGTGCTGGTCAAACTCTCTGCCCCCGGGCAGAGAGGATCCCTAGACGAGGCTATAGCGAAGGGCAGAGTCTCGTCTAAGGAGACAGCCTCCCGACTCCGTTTTTACGGGGTATAGGGGAATTTTTGGCCGAGCCCTAAAATAAAATCGGCCTTGTGCCACTACCGACTGCGTGCAGCGGTTAGTGAATATCACCAACATTAGGGCTTGTTAAATAATAACGTTAAAATTGTCAATGATCTTATAGTAAATATTAAAAATATATAGACGATGTTAGCAGATGAAAATCTGAATACAGTTTAGCATATCTTAAGAATATGTAACGAACAAGTGTTTTTTAATTAATAAAATAGTAATTACATAATCATTGCGAAACTCATCCAAGGATGTGCGGGTGGTGCAATGGATAGGAAGAATCGAAGTGCCAAGTTCAAATTCCAGTTGAGAAAGACACATATCCATCTCTCCTCTTATACCCAGCTAAGTAGGGCAGACTGGGCATTCAAGCCGTGGTTGGCAACTAGTCTAGTAGAAGGACAACTCTGGATTCAAAACTGTATGTAGTACTTGCGAGGCACATACTATGCAGCTAACAACAGAATTGGGGGCTTACGGCCCTGTTAGGTTCAAACACCGGTTCTTGTCCGATCACCGAACTTAAGCAACGTAGTGCCTGGTCTCTACCTAGATAGGTGACCGCTTGGATATAGTAGGTGTTGTAAGCTTCGATGTGCGCGTGGTGTAACTGGAATTAATAATCGGAGAGCCTAGTTCCAATTCCAGTTAGTTTACTTGTATTCACCTATGCGCAAATATCCTTGGGAAACGTATGGATCCGCTTACCCCCATCTATGGGTTAATTAGTAAGATTTGTATCACTGAAACCATTATCTTCAAAAAAGATAAAATTGCGTACAAAATATTTAGATTTTGGTATTTAATTACCAAATAGGGTTCTAGAGAAGGATACTAAAAGTTCCATCGACGTAGCGTGTAAACATCAAGCAAGTCAAATTGATAATTATTTTTTTTCATTTTCCATTTGAAACTCTAGAAATTGTAATAAAATAATTATCCCCCCTTAAACATATGGCCGGACTGCCATATCACATTAAAATATCACTTCTCGTTTAAGCACTGAAGTAACGTCGGGCCTTGAGGGTGAGCGCTTGAGAAAACCAAGTGATGTAAGCTAGATGTGCGATGTACGGTAGTGTTTGTTTGTTTAACGGCATAGCAACTCCTTATGGGCCATTCACTGCCGAAATTTTCTAGTAATTTTCTTCTTTTTACAAAATATTTTTTTTTTAAATCTGTTGCTGGTATATTTTATACTATGAAAATGTATTTTTACACTTTCAGTCCTTTTTTTTTACCCCAGTTTGGCGGCTCACTATTTACCCATAGCTGGGACACTAACCAGGTCACGGTGGACCTGGGAACAACAACAATTAAGAAGTGGTCTTACACTTCTCAAAACCTCCCGATCAACGGCCTTGATGCTGGATGTAGTTTATCGTCATACCCAGGACGGCCGTGGGTTGTGTTACGGATAATGGTTCGGAATGAGAAATCTGATAGCCGTGTTTGAATTTCAGTCGGCTTCGTTACATTTACTGATGCATAAATACCTTTGGGCTATCATGAATTGAAAAGAGAGATGATCGTCCAGCTTGCCTTATCTGCCCTACCAACAGGTCATTGGCTAGATTGTTCCGATTCCGCTGTCTATTCCCAGAAATATATTATATTTTTTATTGCTCAATTATTGCTCTTCATGTTTCTATGAACTCAAAGTTACGTTTCTTTAGAAATAAAAGAAAGACTGCTGACCTGCTATAAAATATCTAATCTTCTACAGAGTGACTGAAAAGTAACTCACCATTTTATGCTTGAGTGGCTATCCAAGAGTCCTGACTTAACACCTTGTACTTTTTCGTTTGTGGTTGTTTAAAGAAGCACGTCTACTATAACAAACTAAGACTTTGGAAGAAGTTGAAGGGCGAACGCCACAAGAGATCCTGGTGAAATCAGTTGACGCAATTAATGTGCAGTTCGAGAAGCTGGTAGCGAAATCTGCTGCCGATAACGAATTTTAAATAAAACCTCATGCTAAACGCTTTCCTGTCATATTCATTTCTTGTAAAAATTATAGTGAATAAATAAATTGTAAATATTTTAAAATGGGGAATTACTTTGCAATCGAGCTTATAAGTACTTTAAAATGGGAAGTTATATTTCAATCACCCTGTATATGGCAACGAACCGCAGCCAATTTTCTTATGGAAGAAGAGATTTGTAAAACAGATATGTGCTTCTGACGACGAATGAGAAGAATATTATAGACAAAATAAGCAAAATCTAAATAAAAATAGAGAAACAAAGAAATTTATAGTTACAATAAGAAAAATGCAACTGAATTTTCTGAAACACGCAAGGAAAAGGGGTCTGGAAAAATTAACATTCAGCAGCCATATTTAAAACAAAAGAATGTGTGGGGAAAATAGAGAATAACCTAATTAACGCGTTTGTTTGAATGGATGGCTAATCAAGCATATTTGTTTGAATGATTGATTTGTTTTTTACAGTCTATCAGCCTTTTTACAGGATATTTAAAACCGAAATATTTTTTGTCTTGTAAGAACTTTTGTTGTTAGATAATAAAAATTTTCTGATATGACCTACTATTTAACCCATGGCTGGGCGGAGATATGATAGATTCGCACCTTTCCCAAAAGAATTTGCACGTAAGTGAATATGATGAACTCGACTTGAATTCGAACTCAGTACATTCAGAGGCATTATCCATTACACCACCAAGCACATTCAAGCTTACAGCTCTTGATATTCCCGAGCGATCACCCATACTGGCCAGACTCAATGTTGCTTATCTTTGGTGATCGTGCGAGAACCAGTGCTTCAATATGATTTGGCCGTAAACCACAGAACAATAATTGATTGGGGTGATAAAGAGTCAAAAGTTCCTTAGAGCAACAAAAGATAGGAAGTTGTAGAGAGACTTTAGCCGGAAGTGACACTTAACGTATTTGTGCGAATGAGTGACAAAAAAGGGACAAAGAGACGTGGTAATTGGTCAAAAGATACTTAAAGCAACAAAAATAGGAAGTTGTAGAGGCCCATGATCGCCTATAACCTGAATTGATACTTAACGAGTCTGTGTGAATGGCTTGGTGAACAAGGATGAAGAGATTTAGTAATTGGTGAAAAGATACTTAGAGCAAAATATAAGAGGTTGTGGAGAGCCATGATCGCCTATAGCCTGAAGTGACGCTTAAGGAATTTGTGTAACTGGATGGAAGAGTTATGATAAATAGAGTTAGTAAAGAATCATATGTTACTTACAGTGACAAAAGACAGGAAGCTGTGGGCAGCCGTGATCTCTAGGCCCCGAAAGGACTTATAGCATAATTTATTTTTATGCCAATTTCGAAAATTTTCCAATATCATCTCGTAATATAATAGATTTGTCTTGGCAATATTTTTTCAATTTTTACTAATATTCACCATTCAAGGCTCAAGGGATACTCAAGATAGAACGTTACTGCGTGATGTTGTATTAGTGTAAGAGCAATAAGTGGAGTTCTTGGGGCTAAGATAATGGCTTGAAGAGGTCAAGATTTTAGTGATTGAGAAAACAAGCGAGGAAACAGATCTTAGAAGGAACCGGAAACCTAATTTAAAGCAGGAAACAAGGGATAAACGTCTACTCCTGCTCAGAAAACTGGAAGGAGTGTAATCTGGACAGTAGGCTAGCATATCTACTCCCACTAAATTAATTATAATTCTAATCTCAAAAAATGTTTTTCATTTTCTTATAAAGAAAATCAAAATACTGTATTTGGCCAGGTGACTCGTGGCAAAACTGTTTTTCTAAAATTGAAAAATAAATCTGTGCACCTCTTCATATGAGATAATGAGATTGCGAAAATGTTGACTTAAGAGAAAGGAAAATAAAAGCAATGTTTTCAGACATCTGTCGATTTGTAACTTCAAGCTGATTATAATTAAATATGTACAAACGATGTTTTAACCATCGCTGAAATCTGAACAGCGCGAACATCAAATGGAGTAAATTTTACAATTTTTTTTTTCTGTTAGACTTTTATGAGCAGCATCCTCCGGTAGAGCAACCGAAAATGTAATCAGCGAGCCGAGCTCAAGTTTTGTTCACTTTTGCAGAAATGCCCTTGGAAAAAAGGATGGATCCGCCTCATTTCCACTCCCCAGCTATGGGTTAAATAGCATTGTAGATTTGCCTGACAACCAGTCTAACAGAAAGAACGCTTTAAATGTTAAAACAACGAGGAAACAACTCCACTATTTTCCAAAGAAAATTCACAGATAATAAAGAAAATATGTGGTGAGCCATGATCACTCATATCATAAAAGGACACGGCATGAGAGAAATTCTTCTCTGAGGTTGTCATGTACATGCCCGAGAAGACGACTTCGAAGATGGCAGTAGAAAGGGAAATAAAATCCCTACTGAAACTTTAGATACCTCCTTGTGTAGCCTTATATACAAATGATTCACCTTATTTACCAATAGACTATTGCATGAACATCCCATGCGTTTTATAAACTATATGTGAAATAATTTATTACATGGAACCTTAAAGTAATCTGTTTTTATTTAAATTATTTGCTCTGGATTTACATTGAGGTCTCTGAATTTTATCCTCCTTAGGTTTACCCATACGGATTACCTAGTTTTTCATAAACTATATATATATATATATATATATATATATATATATATATATATATATATATATATATATAAACACGGTGGAGAAGTTCAATTCAGTCGAATCCATTACATTCACTTACGTGCTAATACCCTTGTGTGAATTCTCTTCTTCACCCTCCAGCTATGGTCAAATAGCAGGACAGACTGGGTTCTATAACCTTGGATGGCAAATGGTCTAGGAGAAGGACAAAAATGACACTGACATCTGATTTTAACAGATATATTTACCCAAGTTACACAAAATGATCTTGAAATACTAAAGAGTAACTTTATTCAATAAAATCTCCATTGGCTTCAACCACGGCCTCCAGATGACTTCGGAATCTCGTGCAACTGCGCCCCACACATAATAATCACGAGGTTGCCGTCTGGGTAGTTAGGTGAGATGTGGTCGCAGAAATTTTCTGAGAGCGATGACTGGGTTCTTCTCCTAGTGTGGCATGGTACAGCCTCTTGTTGCCAGACATAGGGTCTTCCAGCAGCCACCTACTTGACCCAGGGCATCACTGCCTCCTCAAGGCACTTGATGCAGCCCTTCGTATTGAGCCTGAAGCACTCACCTACAAATTCGACAGTTCCTTTCTTCATGACGATCAGAGTGAGTTTTCCGAGGTACTGTACCTTCGTAATCACCATTAGACTCATCCAGCTCATTCCAAGTCCGCCGCACTGTCATCAGATTGACACCTAAAAACTCTGAAATGAGTGTGAATTTGTGTAAAAAGAACTGTTCTTTCAACTACTGATTATACCGGATTATACTCTCTCTCTCTCTCTCTCTCTCTCTCTCTCTCTCTCTCTCTCTCTCTCTCATAATCATACTTATTATAAAACCCAGGTTGTGTGTGTCTGTTCGTTTATATATTGGATCGGATTTCCTACATTTTTCAACCGATTTCAACAAAACTTCACAGGACTGCGTAAAATTACCTTGCGGTGGTTCTGACAGCACAAAAAATTGGAAAAACACAATTGTTTTGCACGAAATCAATTTGAAAACACGATTAAGAGCCATCGCGAGGATGAAAGTGTGTGTGTGTGTGTGTGTGTGTGTGTGTGTGTGTGTGTGTGTGTGTGTGTGTGTGTGTGTGTGTGTTCGTTTATATATGGGATCGGATTCCCTACATTTTTCAACCAATTTCAACAAAACTTCACTTTTTTGGCAGGTAGTGTTTCTTATTATCTTGCACACTTTTTTCTTTATTTTTACATTCAGAATGCTTTAAAATTCCATTTACAAGACAATTGTTTATAATAAAATTCTATTCAATCGGTAGACTCATAACGATTGAAAACAATGTTTTTGTTTGAGTTTGGGTTTGACCAATTCGTAAAAAAAAAAAAAAAAAAAAAACTAATTAAGACGTGCGTATCCGTCAACCTTAAACAATAATCTTTGTCAATTTTATTCTTCAGTCTTTATGATGGTCGATACTTGATCTATCTCTTACTGTTACATCCCCGGGCAACGCCGGGCTCTACTGCTAGTCTGTAACTAAGATCAGTATAACTATAGAAGAAACCATAAGTGGAATCAGACAATGTCGAAAAAACATATATGTGCCTGAGTTAGCGTCTTCAATAAGGATATTCTAGCAGCCTGATATTTAATGTATTTTTCAATCCCACATTATTTTTATTACTATTCCCGTTATGTTTAGTGGGAACACAATTTTACACGTTTTATGTACAGATCTCTGTTTTATAACACTGAAATTAATGAATAAATACAAAAGGAAAACTTATATCAGCTGACGCCTTTCGTGCCCTGGCGAATTTTATCAAAGCAAATGTCAGGATTTTATTCTGCATCTAGTTTTTATAAACAAAAGTAAAATGTTAGTTTTTGAAAATTTATGAATTTAAGAGATGTTTATTCATCATGTCCACTAAAGATCTTAGGAAAATTCTGGAGGATGCTAAGTGACATAATTTAATGTCTGATAAGCGAAATTAAATTAATATTTGCCGGATCTAATGTCTCACTAGTGTCAAAGTCATCGCTTTAAAAGTTAGTAAATGTAGACTTGGAAAGGCCTGAACAAGAAATATGCACTTCCTAAACACGGTAATTGAGAAATATTTGCCTGTAATGTCTTCTTAGTTTAGAAGTGGTTTTCAAAAATACAACTGGAGTACTAGTTCGATTTCTGTCGAAAAGCACAATTTCTTGAGTAACTTTTGATTTCTAGACATGTAGACAATAATTCTACTATTTACAAAAAGAAAAAATCAACTTAAAAACGTTTATCCTATAAATATATTGTTCACATAATGATAAAATATATACAGATAGAAACGCTTAATAAATAATGTCATT